CAAATTATTTTCATTCCGACAAAATATTTCAAATGATTGCATACATTTAGGATTAGCAAAAAAAACGATAGTGGCGTTAACATAGTAAAATAGTTATTTAAAATAAATAATTATATTTCTTGCTAGAATAGCAAGTTTTTGCTTTTATAGAAATTCAGGAACAAATTTTAAGAATTTCGAAAATTGATAATTTTGGGAGAGGTGGAAGAAAATTTTAGAGGGCGGAGATAGGTAAACATTTTCTTCTGAAAAATAAGTTACTACTAAAGATCTATTTGTAAACCAAATTACAGATTTTTTTTCAAAGTACGTAAAAGTTTTGCAAGCAGAAATACGTACAAACGAACGGGCAAAATAAAAGTAATAAGCACATTTTTTCAAATTTTTTTTTGGAAAATTGCTAAAAATAGGTTTTTGTTAGAAAAAATCTCCAACCTGTTATCTTGGTAAAAATTTTCTCAAAGAAAATATTAACATGTTGGGGTTAAAAATAAATCGCTTGGACCTATACACACATGATAAAGTAAGTGATATAGGTAAAAGAAAAGCGGCCAAACCATAAATTATGTAGCTGATGCAAGTACATTTTTAATAGTTTGTGTTGGTAAATGAACCTTATCTGAAATGAAAATATTTTGTTTTTTTAAATCATGTTTCAAGTTAAAAAAATTGCGATTAAGAATAATGTATAATCTGTGGGTAAGTAAAAAACGCCTAGCTACATCTTCCTTGTGAGTATCGGACGGTAATCCAGAGAAAAAAGGGAAAAATTATGTACTGACTAAGGTGAGGAAATGATCTGCTAAGTTCTAGCAGTAGCTCAAATCTGAAGGGTATAAGAATAAGCCTTTACGAAAACAAAAATAACGAACTTTTATACCGTAAAAATAAGCTTATTAACAAATGCGCCGCAACATTCAAGTACAATGCACAATCAGAAAAAAAAGGAAACAAAAATTAGATAAGAAACAAACAATTTAGAATTTGGATATTATAAAAAATTTGTAGGCGGTTAAATTTATATTCTGTGCCAAGAAAAAACAAGAAAAGCAAAAAATCATTTTCGTTTATATTACTTTCGTCGAAAAATTTGTTAACATTTTGTTTAAATTTTAAATTTTTCTTATTTGCAATTGAATGTTCTATATTTGCTAAATACGAGAATTTGTCCAACTGATACGTTTCCAACAAAGTCATACGCCTTCATTAAAAATGTATCCCAGCTCCAAAAGTTCTAAACGAACGTACAAATGCACCATCATATATCAAGTTCTTTCGACATAATAAAATATATACAACGAGTTTTAATTAACAACAAATTTTAGAAATTGAAAGTTTAAAATATCTTTTTTTTCACTTTATCTCATTAGACACTAACTTAAATTTTTTGTTGCATCAGCAAATTTTCGGCATATCGAAGTGATTTTGTTTTTTCATCATTCAGTACAAATTTTTTCTCTTAACATTCAAAATGTCTCTATTACTTTGGCAAAATGGACAAAATGATATTATTAACAGACGATGTTTTTTTTCTTTATAATTATAAATAGAATTTAAAAACGTTAGCCAAGAATTTAAAAAAAATTGTACTTATATACGTACGAAGAAAGAAGACAAAAAATCCTACACAAAATATTTCTTTTATAAATTTTGAAAATTATTTTTTTTAACCTCAGACTATTTTCGACATAATTCTTATAAGTCAAATATTGTGTTAATGTTTAATGTATGGGACTATGTAGGAATCTAATATACATATATCCCTCTACATTTATACCCTCATTTCAATGTAAAGTCTCTAGATAAAGAAGGAGCGAAAAAGGTTGGAAAAATTAACAATATCGTAAAAATACTATAAGTCGAACCAACCAGTCGATTACCGCTACATACTGAACCATATAATTATTATAATATGTTTATAAACCAAAGTGATTTGCAACATTTCCTTAAGAATATTAATATAGAGCAGTTTCCAATATAATATATCGTGATATGCTGCGTTTGCAAAAAAAATCTGCAATCTTAATTATCATATGCATTCACTTCGATAGTGGTAGCGTACAATCTTAATGATCTTATGCACCCTCATTGTCACTTCGTTAGTGGTAGGTGTAGTAGTAATACCCAATTTAATTATCAAGTGTACTGTTATAGTGCTTTCCATAACAGGTTAAATATTTCATTCTAAAATAATTTTTAAAATTATTTACTCAAAAACTAAAAAATAAAGAAATAAAATTTAATTTATTTTTGAATGTGTGAAATATTTTTGTGATATTTTATATTTTTACTTAAGTATGTACACCGTACCCGTAAAATAATATTGTCAATTGCAAAAATTTATTCTTACCAAATTTTGTGTTGGTTAGATTATGATATATCCTATGTACTATTGAAAAATTTGGTGATTAACTTTTAGAAACCATTTTCGAATGTCTAGTGAATTTCCAGTGAGCAAGAATTTATTCGTTTGCTTTCACTCGACCTTAGTATATTTCACTAGTATTTTTTATCGAATTTTGATATTCGATATAATTATGTATTTGATTTAATTTGACGATGCCATAGAACTGTTATCATTGTTATCGCCGTAAGGACTTACGCCAAATTATGTTTTTATAGCATTTGCAAATTGTAAAGTCCAATATGAAAAAAAAATACTATCACTATCCCTTTTTCCTAAAAATACTTCGAATTTTTCCAGTATTGTTCTAGGGGTGCGACATATACATATATGCGTGTAATTATTATCTTCCTATACATATTATGTACGAGGATTTAAGTATTATATTTTAAACTAAATGATTTTATTAAGTTTTATATATTGTATATGTTTAAATAAATATGAGTGTTTCAATATGAATACGAAAATATTTACTCATAATATGATGTTTAAAGCATTAATTTATGCTTAATTTACTTAAATGACACAAATACTTTTATTTCAAGTAAAATTCTATTTGTTACATACATATTTGTACGTATATATAAATTTTTACGATCATAAGTGCAAGGTATTAATTTTTTATAAATTTATCAATATAATTTTGTAATTTAATACATATGAAATTTCTTTGTTCCTTAGCTTCTGAAACTAGAATGTAAGGGGTACATTACAAGAATCAGATTTGACAATAATAATGATTTTTAATGTAGACGTAACACTGCATTGAAATAAAATTCAATTTTTTTCAGACTAGAGATTGTCAGTCCTTGTATATGTAGCAACCTAGTATTATTACGATTAAAAAATTGGAAAAATAAGCGTTTCTATTTTACTTTTTGCATTTGAGTCACATCAAGTCAATATGAAGTTAATTTCAGTTTTGTTGGGCGCTATTCCTCGTTAAATAGAACAGACCAACAGGAGTAGGAATTTTCAAATTTGGAAATGAATTCATCATAAATAATTAGATCTAGGTAAGCACTAAACAAACAATTTTAACAATTTAATATTTTAAGTTAAGTTTGATAGGGTTTTTTAAAATATAATATATATTTTCTATATTTTTATAATATTTTTCGGTTTTCTCTTCTAGACGTATCATTTGAAGTGATAAGGTATTATAAAAGCAGTGATGGGAGCTTACCGAATCAACTATGTGATACTTGTTACCCGTACGAATAGTTTCTGAGAATTATGTGATAGTTGATAAAAGCTTCCATTGAACACTTATTCTAGTGAAATTTGAGCAATCAAACAACTAAAATTTTTGAAATAATTAGTTAAGCCCGTTAATGCAAAATTTTAAAATTGTTGCCTTTATAGTTTCCAATATATGTATATGCAACTTAATTCGGTGTGACAGCAATTTCAAAACATTACCATGGTAGTAAAGTGGGGCTTGGTTTTACTTACGTTAAACAGTTTAGTGACAACAACACTATTTCTGGTATAACCCTTGAACAAATAGTCTTGTACAGCACCAGTTCTTAAATCGAAGAGTTTTCAAACCCCGATAAGGTTATAATAAAAATTATACTATCATTATAAAGCTTAACATAAAATATTACAAAATAAAATATTTATATAAAAGTAATTATCCTCACATCCATGATATTCGATATTGAATGCCAACAAAAATTAAAACAATTACTATCAATAACCTTCAATATTTAATATAAAGAAACAACTCCGGGAGGCTCCGGTCAATGGCTTATGAAACTGAAGCTCGACCCTAAAGTCAAATGAAGATCCTAATGCTTCCAAGTGGAGTAAGGAGAAAAAATTTACTTTAAAATTAATAATAGTTAATTTTATATATAAAGTTTGTACAAATACACATATACATATACATATAATATGCGTATCCTACATATAGCAATAATTCATTCTGAAAAATTTTCAATAAAAGTTTGAATTTCGGAAGTTTGTAAAGCTTTCTTAAAAAAAAAAACGTTTTTTAATTAGATATGCTAACAATAAAAAGTGGAAGCTTTTATGAAAAATGTTTTGTTGCAATGAAATAAAATTTATTTAAAATATTTTGTAGATATTTTATTTTATTTTTTTTTTTTCATTTTTATTTTTTAGCCGCCCATGAAAATTAGATCATGATTTTTTAAGATCCACCCGCAAAATACATTTTCTTCCCTTCTTTATAAAAATATATTCGAACTTATGATGAAAAATCCAACAGCAACAGAAAAAACAAAAAACCAACTAACAATTCGAAAAAAAAAATTTTTTTAAATCAAATGAATTTTTACACTTCAGATCATTTTTATATAATTATATTTTTGCAATTTATATATACAATTTTCTAAATGTATATCTATAATATCTAAACGCACACACATACATAATATATCTATTTCGGTACAATCCAAAATTAGATTATACCCAGTAGCTATATGGTATCTTTGAAAACTTCATCACTATACAAAACATTTTAGTGAAATTTCTTTTTAGAAAACAAAAAAAAAAGGAAAAATATTTATTTTTTCGAAAAAAGAAAATTAATTTTATATTTTTTTTTTTTCATACATATGTAAAATTGTATTTGTAAAGCGATTTTGCACGATCTTAAATAAGAAAATAGTCAGCCGTTGTTCGTCGGACCGTTCAGTTAAAGTTCTGTCGTCCGCCGCGTATCGTTGTCTCTTCTTTTAATTTTTTTCCCTTTAAGGTGAGTTGGGTCGAGCTAAAAAGTGAATTAAAAAAAAAAATTCAAAAAAAATAAAAAAAATTTCAGATTAAATTAAAAAAAAAATTTTTTCTAAAAAAATGGAAATTTAATATATTTTTAATTAATTAAAAAATTTCGTTACTTTAAAATTACAATTATTAAAATAATTTAATAAAGTAATTTTAATAAAGTGAATTAAAAATTTATTTTTTTTCATAAATTACAAATTTTAAAATTTTGCAATTTAAAAACCTTCACCATTTTCTCTTTTAACAACGCGCACGTATGCTTAAATATATATTTTTTTTAATCTTTTATATTATTTTATTAAATTTTAATATAAAACTTTTATAAAATCATTTTGATGTACAAAAGTTACGGTTTTACGAAGAATACATCGAAATCTGTATGAAAATTTTCAGCTTATAAAAATTTTTTGGGACCTGAAATATTATACTGGGATTACGCAATTTTTTTTTTCCAAAAATTTTTGTATGGAGAAAGTTTATGCTTATATTGAATTATAAAAAATGAATAAATTTAATAATTTATTTCATTTAAATAATTTTCAAAAATTAAAAAATTTAAAAGAAAAATAGAATTAAAAAAATTTTTTCTAAAAAACCGAAAAAGAACAAACAACAAAGTATAGAAAAAAAAATCTAAATTTTAAATTTTTAAAATAGCAAAACTAAAAGTGATTTAAGAATTTTCAAAATGAAATTAATTTAAAGAAAAAAAAATGTAGGATAAAATCTATTTTTAAATTCTAATGAATAATATGTGAATTAATAAATGTGTATGTGAGAAGAAAAGCATAAATTCGTATACGAAAACAAAGCAAAAGAAAAAACAAACAAAAAAAAAGAAAATTAGACTGAAAATTTCTAAGTATAAGTAAAATCAAATTCTACATCTTATTTCGAAGAAAAGAAAATTAAAAAAAAAATATTTTTTTTTGTGAAATATTATTTTTCAGCCATTTTATATGAAATTTAAGTGATTATTTTTATATTGAAAATATTTTGAAACAAAATTCACCTAAATATTAAAATTTATTTGACATTTATATTTAAATTTTCTATAATTATAAAACTTTTTCATACGTCAATTATTATATGAAGAGCAAGTGGTTTCTGATGAGAGGCAACATTTATGTACATGCATATTGGAGACTTCATTTTCAATTACATTTTCATTCATTCTTCTTATCTCTCTCATTTACCTTTTTATATGTATGAACGCCTTTTGTTCGGTTCTCTTAATTAATTTAAATTTTTTAAGAGAAAAAATATTAATGGTACAATTCTATTTAATTGCCATTTTAAAGTTATTGAGAAATTTTAATTTGCATAAATTTTTAAACTATAATTCAAATATTTAAAAATTATTTAACAATTATAAAATTAATAAAATTACACATTAAATAAATGTAAGAAATATGATCATTTGAATTTTTTAAATTTTTAAATGCCGTAAAACGAAGCAATTTTTAATTTTGTCGAACCAAATACTGTGTTCAAATTTCAATTTTCAATTTTATCCATACATATACAAAAATCTTGCTCCAATAATTAGTTAATTTTTTTCTGTTTTTTTTTTTTTTTTAAAATCAAAAATATTAATTTATTTCGAAAAGTTTTGTACATATTCACACCTACTTAACATAAATTTTTGCTCCTCTTTTAACAATTTAAAAAAATCTATTTTTAAAATAGAATGAAAAATCCCACATGCTCTCGGTGTTTCGTTCAAAAATTTAGCGAATTTTTAGAGTGGGTGTGAAATGGATAAAACTTGCTGATCATATTTTCTAATTCATTTAAATATTTTCATTTAAATAATCTATAGATTCAAGAATACCAAAGGCAAAGCAAATTTATTTTGCGGATAATTTTTTTTTTAAGAAATAATTTGTGTTTATAATATTTTCTATGGATATTTATTCCTTAAAACTAGAAATTTAATTTTAAATTAAAAACGCTAAACACTTATACTAATCTACATAATTATTGGTCACTTAAACACATTTCACATACCAACAAACCATATATCTACATACAATGCGTTTTTATACTTTTATTTTTACATACAATATAAATAATTTATTTTACATGCGCACTTTTCACATACACAATTAAACAAAATGAAATTATATCAAATTTTTTTTGGAAAAAATGTTTTTTTTTTTAAATTGATATTTACTTACATAAACACACATTTTTACTACCAAAAACACTTATATACACGTATAATACCTAAAAATATACATATAAGATTTTGGTATAAAGATGATACAATTTAAAAAATAATATATTATATAATTGAAAACTTGTTTAGTAAGCGCGATATTATGGAAAAAAAATGTCATAAGAAGTGATATACTTTTCTCTGAGCACAATAAAAGAGTTTCGACTGAGCTGAAATTTATATTTAAGAAAACACAAAAAAATTATTAAAATCACAGGGAAATGCAACAATAACCTATATAGTAAACAACCCAGGACGTAATGTAAAGTAGAATCTGAAACATACTTAAAACATAATATTTAAAAAGGAGGATAAAAAGTACGAAAAAGTTCTTTTCCGTATTTTTAGAAATAGAATCCGGCTAAATTACTATTAATTCCAAAAACTTTACAGCCGTTAAGTAAAAAAAATAAAAATACCTCATAAAGAATTTGACAAAGCTTTCTTTTAAAAAAAATATACAATGGTTTCAAAAATATAAAAAATTTTAAAAACAAAGATAATAAAATGTTGAAATATATTTTTCAAATAAATTAAATATCTTAATAAAAATATTAACTTTCTTGATTCTCGATCTTGATTGCGATTAAAATTTTATGTTTTGTCCAAAAATTACTTTAAATCGTTAAGCTTGGTTTACTCGAATCCAAAAATTCTGATTTAAATAGTTTTTAATCATTGCCAAAGATAAACATAATATGAGCAAAAAATTAAAATATTTTATGAATTATTAAAATTTCTTATATAAATAATACCATACTAATAACATCAACTGTAAAACACCAAATCTGAAGCTATTCAAAGAAAGGCTTACAAACAACAGATTGCTGTTTATAGATTTGGCTTATTGAAAATTTATTTTTTCCTATAAGAATTTCTTAATTCTCTACCTTTAGTTAAATATATTAGAATACATTTGTAATGCCAAATTTTGTTAGTTTTTTCAATTTTTCGAAATTATTCGGTTATAATGAAATTAACTGATCTGATGCCGGAATCCTAAAATAGAATTGCAATGCAATTTTAATTTGATTTTTAAAGAAATTCGTCTTGGAAATTCATCGCTAAACGTAAAAAAAAATTTGCAAAGAAATTTGCGCTTATCTTGAATCAGTTTAATAAATTGATTTAAAATGAAGCACCAAACCAAGCATAAAATATTTAGACATAATATCAGGAGTTGCCATGGTAAATTAAAATCGGCGTCAAGAAATCGACGAATCCAAACAATATTTTCGCTAAAAATAGTTTACGTTTCTTAAAATATATTTTCTTTTATAAACCTAAATCCAGATTATTTTAAAACGCTCAATCAATCTTGTAGCTGAATAATATTAATCTTCAATTATATGAAAAATTCGATACAAATTTTTACTTTTAATTAATTAACATCAATAAAGGATGGCGGAATGCAGCAGCTGACGAAAACGATAAAATGTTTCACTAATTAATTTCCAAGACTTTCAACTATTATTAATAAAATTAATAATGTATAATAATCTCGATATTTTTTATATTTTTATTATATTTATTCAGAAATAATCAAAATTCTTTCTTGTTGATCTCGCTCAGTTTAGTTCTTTGTTCAATATTCTATTTCGATAATAAATTTGCACTTTTTATTTGCGTAATGCATAATTTAATGTAACGGTAAAATAAAATTAATTTTTCTTTTATATCATCAGAATTTTATCTTTGTTGTTATTAATTTTTTTTTTGGTATTTTATGAATTTGATTTAGGTAGACATTTAATTTATTTGGCAAAATTTTGATTTGAAATTAAATTAAGAACGAGCAGTGTGACAATAAATTTTAAAATTAGATTGACACCTGAATTTGGCAATCATTCAAAGAAGAAAAACGAAAAAAGAAATCAAAGCAATCAAATTATTCAAGTTTAGCATTTGTATAGGAACAATCATAAAATTCTAATAATGAGTAAAAAGAGCAGAGAAAAAAAACAGGATAATAATATTTTGTCATGACCTATAACGGTTAAATATTTTAGAAATTGTTCTATAAAAATATTTACAATTTTAAACTTTTAATCAAATGTCATTAATTATCAATATGTCATCAGGTGTTTAATTTCGCCATCTTACGTTGATTTCAATTAATAATTATTTTCAATAAAGGAGTGTGTCTAACACAGTATATAACATTTTATATATAAATTAATGTTAATTAGCTGTTTTATAATCCAATACAAATATTTATATAAAATATTTTAAGAAAAATATGAGTAAATTAGTTAATAAAAATATAAGTTAATTTAATATAATTGTTGTTGAAAATAACGTTAAATATGCGAATATTGACAGAAGTCAAGATAACTGACATAGAAATCTGTCACACATTGCACAAAATTCATTCTCTTAACGCCATATTCATAAACGTTATAGTATTAGTTTAGGCCAATATAATAAAATTTCAGCGAAAAAACAGAATATATGGTTTCAAACAAGGAAAGCATTAATACTTGACGAAATTTTGCGTTTTGAATATTCGACCTGATGAAAAAAAATTAATATATTCATTTGTTTTTTCTGAAGTTCCTATTATGTCAATAAATGTATTTTAAATGACTTGACTTCAGGTTTCCCTTTCATAAGCAAATTATTTACAGCACTTTTTTCCATATTTATCGAAGGTTAAAGTACTTTATTTTCACTTCACGCAAAAAACATAATAATAACGCTGCTTAAAAGGAAAATTGTCGGCTATAAATTCGATTGGAAAAAAAATTTCTGCCGGTCACATCTTTTAATTTAAAAAACAAAATGGAAAAAAGAGCGTGCTTTTCGATAAACATAAATAATAAGGCCAAAGGTCGTTTTCATTCAATACACTTGCTTTAGCTGCATCCGCCAGTTCCGAATATTTTGTATGTTTTTTTCTTCTATATTGAATTGAGATACCATTCTATTGTGCTATTGAAGTGTAGTTACTATAGCATGATTAATTTTACAAAATCTAGTTAAAACTTATTTTTATCGAAATGTTTTTGAAACAATTTCCTTAATAATCAATTATATTTTTCTAAAGACAGATTTGTCGGGGTGAAAATTATTAAATTTATAACGTATATTATTATATGTTTGCAACTGCTAGTATTTAAGTATTCAACATAGGCCACCCGTAATTAAAATTAAAATTAAAAAAAAACGCATAATTCTTCTCTGTTGTATTAAATTTTATAATTAACTCGATTCATCAATAATTATCGTAGCATTTTAAGAAATTATGAGGCGAAAAAATTTCTAAGCTCATATAATATCTGAAGTTGGAATAAATTAGAATAATCTTACATTCATTATTTTGAAAATGTCTCGCAGATTTGCAAAAAATGTCGTAAATACGAGTTGAGAATATTAAAAAAGTATTACTAAATTAAATTAATTATTAAAATTTCTCCAAAGAAAATACGTTGACTGAAAGGTTCGGCCTTTTGTTTATATACTTTGTAATTTTAAATGCAAAATAATACCACGTTAAAATGTGTTAAACGTGCTTTAAATCATATTGCTAAAAAATTTAACTTTCATCCCTTAAACAGTGAAAATTTCTCAATATTAGCTTAATTGTTCTAATATTTCTTTATCTGTATTTATGAACATATATCACATTCAATATTAATAATATAAGTAAAATTTTTTAACTTCCAAGAAATAGGCAATATTTTCAAAAAACATCTAATAGATGGTATTTTAATTTTTCTTTTTTTCCTCTTTTGCTTTTTTAAAATTACATTTTTGACATTGTTCAGCGTTCGATTGTCATATGTTTTATATGAGAAAATTTTAACAGATACGAAAATTTCTCTTCTCATTTCAAAATTTTCTCTTAATTTTTCTTTAAATATTTTCTTAACTTTTAAGAGAGTTTATTATCGTTTAAATATTATGAACCTGAAATAAGATACCTTCAATGAGATTAAAAAATTGTTAAATTTTTCTTTTTTATGAAATAGGTGCGCATGAGCACTTTGCTCCCCAAATACGGTAACATATGCGTGTTCTATTTTTGAATTATTCCTCATTATTTTGTATATAAAATTTAAAGATTTATAAGAATTATTTGTTTATCCGTTCGCAAAGCAAAATTAAATTAATTTGAATTTATTTTTTTTTAAGAAAAAAAATTTTTTTGAAAATTTTGTATTAGAAAATTGAAATTGAAATTTTTTATATTTTTACAGCTTTTAATTTAAATAGAATAATTAATCGCCATGGCTGATGATGAGGTGAGGTGAGTATCGTCATTAATTTAATAGTATTTTAAAAATAAAATAATATATTTTTTTAGTAAACATACATACATACGTAAATATTTAATATTAAATAATAATTAAAATTTTATTTTTAATTTATTTCATATGTTTTTCAGTTATGTATTGAATGTATCAATTATGTACAATTCTGTTCAAAGTTTGTTTAATGGTGACGTATTGGTGGTGTGTGACATTAATAACAAACAAACAAATTGGATTACATACAGGTAATTGTAAAAACAAAAAGAAAAAAAATAAATTAAATAAATTGATTTAGCACATTCACATTAAAATTAGTATAAAAATTAGAAATTCTAGTTTATACAAGTGACAATAAATAAGTGAGTAGAATAAATGTTCGTTTCTGTCACCGTGTGATGTATTTGTTATTATAATTGTTTTTATTTTATAAATTTTTGTTCTCATTAATATTGTCAAGGTTGTCTCTTAGATTTATTTATTTTAATTATGTTAGAGATTATGTAGAAAGGTAGATCAATAATAAAATATAGAAGTGCATAGACTGCATACATATATGGCTAAATAAAAAAAACTTTGTTCGAGACATTTTATTAAAAACCTGCCGATTGTTGAAAAAATTAATTGTAATTAAATATCAATATTAGTGATACCGATTTTAAAAGATTATTTTTTTTATTAAAATTAACTTAATATGCGTACCGGGTTAGTCATTTTAAACATTCGTTTTTATATAGTATAAAACACGGGGTCTTGAAAGTTTATTTTATTTTTTAATTTTTAAATTTATGACTTTAGTTTTGCTATCATTTTTACATAAATCCATTAGATTATTTGTATGTGTTGTAAATATATCGTGCTAAATTTTTCTATAATTTCATACTAAAATAATTATATATATATTTAATTTTTAGAAAAAGGCTGCGCCAGCAGCGGCTGCACCAGCACCAGCAGCTCCAGCAGCAGCCGCAGCAGCTCCAGCAGCAAGTGGAAAAGCTGCACCAGCCGCAAATGGAAAAGCAGCTGCTCCAGCAGCAAACGGAAAACCAAAAGCACCAGAAAAACCAATGACAGAAGAAGAAAAGAAAGTTTCCGAGGTACACGAAAAATATTTAAATGCAAGAAATTAGCATTGTCTACATACATCAATGTTAATCAATAAAATGTAAATCATATGTACTGTATTCCAGTTGGAAAAATGATATTGTCAACTATATGTATTTTGTATCGATGACGTCTAACTAAATTTATGTTTTTAAATGATTCACCACACACACGTACACCATGTCGTTGTCCATCATATTATTGTCAAAACAGATTTGTGCTGTATAAGATAATTAAAAGAAAAATATTAATTATTTATATTTTTATATTATTAACAAAAATCTAAATTTTCGTACAGTTAATAATACTTATTTTTTTTTATATTTTACAATTTCTAAATTCTAAAATGAATATAGGCTAAGAAGGCTAAACAAGCCGAAATTGAACGCAAGCGTGCTGAAGTACGCAAGCGTATGGAAGAAGCTTCCAAAGCCAAAAAGGCAAAGAAAGGTTTCATGACACCAGAAAGAAAGAAGAAACTTAGGGTAAGCTTTTTTGTTGATTACTTAAACTCTACCTTTTAATAAAAAATTTTCCCATTCATAATATAGTTGTTGTTGCGTAAAAAAGCTGCTGAAGAATTAAAGAAAGAACAAGAACGTAAAGCCGCCGAACGTAGACGTATTATTGAAGAAAGATGCGGTAGTCCTAGAGATCTTGATAGCGCTAGCGAAGGTATAAAATTTTATGTTTCATTTTTCTTTCCGATTGCAATACACTTATATTTATGAAATTTTATTAAGAGAAATTAAAAATTATTTTTTAAATTAAATTGTTAAATAATTACTCGACGTCATAAAAAATTAGATTTATAACTAAAATAATATAATTTATAAACTTCGATTAAATTTTAATTAATATTACTCCAAGAATTGTATTCAACATTTTATATTCGTCACAAAAATATTCTACACACCAATTTTTTTTTACCGTTATTGTCTTAATATTCTATGGTGAGATATAAAACAAACCTTTTACGAATTAATAAATAATTTTTTATAAATTAATATTATAAAATACAAAACTACATAGTAAAAACACACTAAAAATACAATAAAACAAAACAACAACATTGTAATACATAATTACACTATACAATAAAATTTTAGAACAACTCAAAACTTTATTGAAGCAATTCCATGAAAGAATAAATAAATTGGAGGACAACAAATATGATCTTGAATATATCGTTAAAAGGAAAGACGTTGAGGTACACTTAAAATGCAAAAAAAAAATTAAGAAATTGCAAAAAATCTTTTTGTGAATCAAAACTTTTAACGCTATTAGATTCCTACATATAGAAGTGTGATTGAAACGCGCTATTGAATTGTCAAGAATAAATTTAAAAATAACAGAAAAATTTTATCATACAATCAATTTGAATGAAAAAATTATTTAAATTTTTTGCTGTCCAAATTTCAGTAAAATCGTATTACTACACAATTCAGCAATTGAGTGGATTAGTAGTAACGCAATATTACTGTAATTTGAACGCGACCGATACTAAAAATCAATTTATTGTATTTTTATTTAAATACAAGTTTTATATTGAATTTTCAAATAAAATTTCAAAGCACTTAATTATTTAATTTATTGAGCAAAAATAGCAAGTGTTGAAACTTGTTTAAAATTTAATTCTTCAATTATCACTTTTATATGTAGAACTATTTTTTTTCTTTTTGTTCTTTTTATCGATAAATATTTTGCAATGCAAATTAAAAATGAAAAAATTCAATTTTATTTAAAGCTTTTAAATGTTCTTCTATTCTTCTAATTGGCAACTTATGATTTTTTATTTGTGAATATTTTTTTTAATTCTCTTCTAAGCAAAATTTATTTCTATCTTTTCTAAAAAATATAAAAAACAACAACACAAATTTTATTTAATTATTTAAAAACTTTATATAAATATTAAATTTTATGAAAAGAATTAAACTAATACGGCAACACTTGCAAATGTCAAAATATTAAAATGAAAAATTTTATAATATATAAAAGAAATAATTTTAACATAAAATCAACGTTAAAATAAAAATGTCAGAAAAAATGTATAATGGCAAAATATGACTGCCGAATAATAATGATCATAATTCAATATTAAAATAATTATTAATATTTAAAGTAAATGTATAAAGTAAAAGTTATTAATTTTATTGGAAAATTTAGCTTAAATTATTTTAAGCACTAAAAAAAAAAGTAAATCAAAATTATGATCATTATTAAAACATTTTTTATTTCATTCTTAAGCTTTTAACCTCATATAATTTGTATGAATTGATTTAAGAATATTTTGATTTGCTATGTGAAATTCTTTAAGCCTATAATAATATTGAGTCTCGATATAAATCAAAGCGATATATGAAAAAATCAAGTACATTTAACATTAAGAATGAGAACAGCGATAAAATTTAAGTTTCAGGAATGACGTACAAAATTATATTTATATACATATAATTAATAATTAAATAATATACAGATAATTACATGCAATAATACAATATAAAGTGTCCCAGAAATTAAATGATGATAATTTAATGAATAAATATAATACACACCATCGTCTCATTTATTTAGGGAATACCGAAATTTTTATAATATCTTAAAAGTTTGAAAGTGAACAATATTACCACAATAATTTGAAAATTTTAAGATATTTTTTAATAAATTCAAAAGAAATTTATTATGTCATTTAAAGATGATGAATTTTTCTTCTTTAAGGTTAAGTAATTTTTATGTATAACAAAAAAAATTTTTAAATACAAAAAAATTTCTTATGTTTTTTTTTTATTGAAAACATAATACAATATAATTTATATCTGTAGATGCATTAAAAAAGGCCTGCAAAGAGTTTTATGACAGAATAAGTAACCTAGAAAGTGCAAAATATGACGCTGAATATGTTGTTGCACTAAGAGAATTAGAGGCAAGCAAAAATAAAAATAATAATTATTATTTCTTAATAATTATCTTTTCTCTATTTAATTAATTTATTAAAAAGAAAATTTCTTATAATTGACTCTAATTTATTAAAAACAAAAAAAAAAAACAAATAATTATTTTATTCTTAATTAAATTATTAATTTTAGATTGTTATATTAAGGGAATGATTTATGATGGCTGTAGCTAATTAAACATATAAATTAAACAAAAAAATAATGACACAATGAAGTAAAAACTGATCTATTAAAAGAAAAACCAAAACCCCAGTAAAAAATTAGATTTAATTTTATTAATATTCCTTAATAGCTTATTTATACTTAAAGGTTTAATAATTGACCGAAAAATTTTTTTAACAATATTATCTAGTTTAGTTGTCCATCAAATTTTAATAATATTAAAAATTATAATATTGATTATTATAATCTTTTTTAGTAGAAAAATCATGAATTTAAGAAAAAATCATCTTATTGCATCTGGAATGTGTATTATTTCTCTTATATATAAATTCGCATTTTTATTAATTGCATTTACAATATTGACAATAGATTCATGTATGTAATTATAAAATGGCTGTTCCCCAAATATTTAAGCAAAAAAATAGTGTTTTTTAATCTATTAAGCTCTTTAACATTATTTGCGACTAAAAATTATAGTGAACACAATAAAATAAAGCTTTTTTAAAAATTTACTTGATTTTTACCAGTATAATTAATAATAATTATTAAAAATTAAATAGCAATCTTTAATAAAAAGAGTAAAGTGACTTCAAAATTGCAGTAATACTGTTATACTGTTATATTTCTGATTAATAGCTTAATTGTGTATTAATATCTTATTACTTTAATTTTGAAATCATCTCTTTTTATTTTTATTTTTAAGTAAGAATACACAATCATATTTTTTAATATCTATTAAGAAAATAAAACTTTGAAAAACTTTATGCTAAATTATGTAGTATTAAAAAATTGAAATAATTTTTGCGTTATAAATGATCTCAATCAAAAATCAATTTAACACAAAGACACTATATGAGCAACTCCTAAATGAATTCAATTTATTCAGCAATTAAAATTATTTATATTGCTGATTAAATCAAATTCAAATTAGTTCATAGCATGTACGAGTAGGTGGACTCATAAATTTTATCTTATTCAAGAAGAAAATTAAATTACTATTAATATAAACAATTAATAATTCGGCGTACATTATTTATAAAAATAAAATACAATTAATATATTATGTATAGTAAGAGTATAATATATTTGAATATATAAACAAAAATTATAATTTAAGCTCAAACAATAAATTATTATAAATATAATATAGAAAAAAAAAAAGTCATCGTAAAATTTAAAAATAAAATAATATTATTTGCATAATTTGAAATGTACAATATCTACAATACATAATATATATACATGTATAATTAATATACGATAATATATAGCTGATCTTCAGTCCATATGTAAACAGTATTGGAAAAGGATATATGAATTGGAGGGTGACAAATTTGATTTAGAACACATCGAGAAATGTAAAGCACAAGAGGTAAAACCTGAATTGAAAGTTTTAATAAAAATTCAAAACAAAATACAATATATAAATAACAAGTTCTATATATATATATATATATTATATAAATTGAAATACATATAATAAAATGAGAATTCCAAAATATTCCTATACATAATTTATTCTAATATAATTTTTATTATTTGTTAATATACTTTTTTTTCTAATTTATTTTTTTGAATTTAATTTTGATTTAAATGAAAATGATTTTATTAAATAAAAGATTTATATGATTATTATTGCTATTTTATATACCATATAAATTTTATATGGCATATATTGCATACATAGTGTTAACGAAAACCCAAAAATAAATCAAAAATAAAAAAAAAACATGAAAAGATGCTTGAAAATTATGTAAAAAGAATCAAAATACAAATGTGATATTTTTTACTTATTTTTAATTTTTTGTTATTTTCTTGTATATGGTATAAATATTTTTTTTTAATTATTATTATTATTTTTTGACCTTCTTTTAACATTTGATAAAATCTTTGCCAATATATACAATAAAGAGAATATACAAAGATATTAAAAGAAATGTAAAATGTCAAAAATTATAAAATTGACGAATTTTGAAAATATTATAAAATTTGAACTGGAAAATACGAACACTTAACTAAATATAAAATTATCCGAATAAATCAAGTTGACGGTTCACAATCATTGTCATTTAAATAGGTTTTTCAAATTATTAAACATTCTTTTGAACTACCGCCTAATCATGTATCTCGGTTTCCATCTCACTCTTTATTCGATTTTAAATTAGAATTTTCTTTCCTTTATGGATATTTCCTTTTTCTAATAAGATTATTCATTTTTTCAATTGGATTTTTGCTTTTTAACTCAAATTATCGAATTAACGTCTAACCTTCAAAAATAAAATGAAAAAAATAATGACTAGTAATTTTTCACTCTTGACGAATAAAATAGTGAGCTACACGATCACGCTCTTAACATTTTCCTTTGACTTGTATATTGTTTTTATAGCCTGCATACTATTAAAATAGAAATATTAATATATTCTCTTTTTGTATATGATTGTCAAATATATATACATAGTTGTACTTTTTGGAAAATGAAGTTCTTAAGATTTGAAATGCAAAACTTTAACAGTTCTACAATCAATTTGTACATGAAATTTTTAAAAGTTTTGCAATGCCAATTACGGAGCTTATTTTCGAACATCCCAATATACTTTTTTTTATTTAAATTTTTTATAGTTTGAAATTGTTAATTATTACAAAAACTTATTACCCCAAAAAAAAAAAAATAGCAGAAACGAAAACAATGATCTTAAAAAGTCAATAATATAAAATATTTAAAAAAATTTTTTTTATAATATTTTGCTAAAAAATTTTATTAATTTTAATTTTTCCTTGAATTTTTTTTTTTTTTATAAATAATTTTGTTGGTTTTTGATGATATGCGATCCTTTAAATATTAAACTGTTATATAAAATAATTAATAAAAATGAAATTCCGTAATAATATAAAAAAAAAATGAAACTTTTTTAATATAAACTTCGAATACATTTAATATGAACTTAAGAATGAATTTAAGAAACCATTACTGATATTTAATTGAAAAAAGTATTTTATATATAATTAATTTATAAATAATTTATAATAATAATGTATAACTAACTAAATTTATTAATTTAATATTCTGATTTTTTTTATTATATTAATTGTATATTTAATTTGAATTCGTCTGAACACATAACATTTGAGCAATATTTGAATATTTTATATAAAAGCTATAATATAATTATTTATAATGACATAAATTATTTATTAAAGGAAGTTAAATTAATAACATTTTACAATACGTAATGAATGAACAAGTGTTGCTGAAAAAAACTAAAACAAACCAATTTTTTTTCATCTACAATTACAAATTAAAATTGTTGCAATCAAAACGAAAATTTTGCATCCCATGAGAGTAACCTCGAAATTTTAACAAAATACGTACATATTTATGTATATTTTAAATTAGATTTTTATATATGTATATATATATACATATATTTTCTGCAATATAGAACTTTTCTAAGGGCAATGTATGTTAATGTAATAAAATATCTTAAAAATACATGAAAAAAAATGAATTATGAATTTTAGAGAAGTTTTTACATAATATATATGTTGTTCATTGAAATTGATCTATAAAATACTAAAAATATATATGTATATATATTTCTGTCAAAATATAAAATAAAATGATGCCTAAATAATATGAAGATAAAACAAAAAAATGTGGTAATAAAAGACTTACCTCGTAAATTTAAATTTTGCTTTCTGCCATTACTGCCATATATTTAAATTTGCCGTGGCGCATTTTTGAAACAATATTTTGTGGATTCTAAATAAGTACATACCTATATGTACATAATATACATTTATGTGATTAATTCCTAATTTAATGTATAATTTATTTAAAAACTAGAATTAATTATGGTAGACAAACCCCTAATTCTGAACAATTTTATTTGTTCCTAATTTTTAAAATCACTTTTGAATAATTTGAGTTGTTGACAAGTGTCAAATTTTTCAGATCAAATGATTGAGCTCCATTTCGAGTAATTTTTGAATTATACTCCATTTTGACAATGTTGATATCTAAAACAAAAAAAAATTAAAATATGTTTTTAAAATAAAATATTTGAGTTATAAGGTGTAAGCATTAATGGAAATATTAATAAATTCAAATATTTTTTCTATATTTATCAAAAAAGAAATTCTCCACCATATTTTTCAAATTATCCAAATTTATTATTTTACTTATTACCACAGGATTTTGTATTATATGAATTACTTTTTGAGGAAATATTTAATTTTGCCACAATATTATTTTTCTAAAATATTTTATCAAAAAGTTATTCATTTTCAGAAGACTTTTTTTTTTAATTTTTCGATTTTTGGCATCATTAAAACATTAAAAGAATTCTATATAGTGAATTCTAAAATATTCTTGTAAACAATTCTGCTTCTAATTCCGTATCTGTTACATTAATGGCAAAATGTAAAATAAATAATTTAAAATTAATTTAAAAAAAAATATGGAAAAAAAAAAACAAAAAAAAAAAACGAAAAAACGAAACATATATTAATGTTTTCCAGAGGAATTGAAGGAGATTTGTGAAGAATATTTCGAGCGTATGTATTTATGCGAAGGTCAGAAATGGGATCTGGAATATGAAGTCAGGAAAAAAGACTGGGAGGTACTGCAATTTTATTAAAACCTTAAAAATTTACAAAAAGGAGAAAATTTATATAATAAAATTCAATTTAATTTTAAATATATATGCACTCACATATATATTTTATAAAAGTTATATACAAAATTAAAAAAAGAAAAATGAAATTAATTATTACATTAAAAAACAAAAAAACCTCAACATCATTTGACATACATATTATACAATCTCTCAACAATACTTTACAATACCTTACAAATTCCACAAAGAGAAATCCACAACAAAAAAATTAAAAAAAAACTAAACTCAAAATTTCACAATTTTTAAATTAAATTACAAATTACAATTTTACACCTATTTTACACCTATTTTATTTCAAATGTCGTTTCATAAAAACCAAAAATCATCGTACTTGAAAATCAAAAACAAAAATAAATTTACAAAATTTTTTTGATTTTTTACACTTTTCTCCTTCTCTCAATTTCCCTTTTTTTCTCCAATATGAAAACACTTTATTAATGTTAAAAATTCATTTTGATTTCCTTTTCGGTTTTGTTCAATTTTTTTTTTTTTGATTTTGAAATATTTTAATTACACATAAATTTTTCATAATCAATCACCGAAAAATTTCCATCAATTAGAATAAAAGAAATTTCCCTCTTGTTTCTTTTTCAGTTACTCTTCCAACAATTTCCCAATTTTTTTTTTGTTTTTCTAACGAAACAGAATGTTTCTTTTATACATTAAGAGATTTACTTGAGTAATTTAATACATATATTAAATATACTAGTCAAATGAGAGAGACTTTTGACTCTGAAACGACGATTACTGTATTGTGCTTTAGGCTACTATTATATAGTGATTCGGCTGGTTTTAAAAAATGGTTACCATAAAATATGCATCTCAGTAATATCAGCTGCCGAATGGCTTATCATACTGGTTTCTAAACGTAATTAATGTTGATCTAATAATTTTGAAATGATTTGTTTAGTATTAGACTTCAAACATACTGCCAGATTCATGACAGATGAAACATTTTGAAAATGAATAAATTTTTTCTTTTATTTTCAATTTTTCCTGTTCAGAACTACCAAAATAAATTTATTATATTTTGTGTATAATTGTGGAAAAATTCTTCAAAATCAATTTTATTTCAAAGTAGCATAAAATGGAAAATAAAGTGTTGTCGTGTTTATATTTCTGATCAGTATGACCGGCGTCCTTCGTAATAAGGTTAAAATTAAAAAATGATTTTATTAAACCAAATTTTGTATGAAAGAACGTCCTGGAAAAGAAATTATTTTTTTTGTTTTTTCACCTTTTTCTTCATATCCAAATAAAAAAATTATTCACACAAAATGAAATTATAATATTTACACATATTTTTACATCATTATTTTATAAATACATAAAATATTGTTTACTTGTGTTTTTTATTTGATTTTTGTCAAAAGAAAAGTATTTAATTTTTTTTTTTTGAATTTTTAAATAGTTTATCTAGAGCTATATGAATTTGTATATGTTTAAAAAATTTTTTTGTAAATGACAATTATTTTTACATCGAAAAATTAATATTAATTCGTCATTATATCAAAAAATACACTCTCCAAACATTTCAAAAAATTTTTGTTTCATTGAAAAAAAAAACAATATGTATATCTATTTATATACATATATACATATATTTTTTTGTCATTAGTTTGCATTTGTTTGTAGAGTTTTATTTAATTTACTTTTTTTTTTGTTACTTTTATACTTTTTCATTGAAATAAAGTAG